AAAAAAAACCAAAAAATGATAACAGTGGAAAAGGGATGCTAAAATGCTCAAAAATAGTTAAAATTTGGTTATGAAAGTTCAAAAATATAAAAATTAAAATTTGACAGTAATTTATCGACCGATGAGAGTTCAATTGATAAAGAAAATTTAATTTGAGGAAGAAAAGTCCAAGATCAGATATTTATGAACTCAATTAAATTTTATTGAAGGTTTAATTGAATTTATAAAGGGTTTGATTGTAAGAAAAATTAATTTTTAAAGTCGGTTTGGGTTTTAATTGAAAAAAAAATAAAGTTTTAGGGTCAAATTATAATTTTTAGAGCTAATTTGATTAAATCAGGGGCTTAATTGAATAAATATTGAAATTTGATGACCAATTAAGAACTTAATTGAAGAAATTCAAAACCAAGAACTAAACTAGAAACGGCGCATGAATAGAGGGCTGTAATTAAAACCGAATCAGGAGCTAAATTGAAGAAATTAAAAATTTATTGATCAATTAAAGGTTAAATTGCATAAATTCAATACTAAGGATCAAAGTGAAAAAGACAATCAACTACAAGGCCACTATTTGATTTTCGACAATGATGCAATTGCATTGATGTTTAAATTAAAATTTTACAATTTAGGACTAGATTGAGCAGATTATATATTGTGGACTAATTTAGACTTTAATACTTTTCTGACGTCGTTTTTATTTAAATAAAACAGGATGTTTTGTTCAAAATAATGTCATTTCATCTACTGTTTATTAAAAAAAAAAAAGGGCCAAAATGGTGTCGTTTTAAAGGCATTGTGGGTCTTCTTCCCCTAGACACGTGAAGCTGAGGAAGAAGATTTTTTCCATGTTGGGCCAGTGTCGGCCCATATTGTTTTATGTTGGGCCGATGCCGGTCCATTTTTTTTATGTTGGGCTAGTGCCGACCTGTTTTCTCTATGTTAGGCCAGTGCTACCCAGCTTCATTATGTTTGACCATGCTAACCAATTTCAATTAAATATACCGTAACAATACAAATCAGGTATTAAAATATTCGATTTTTATCAATTAAAAATAAAAAATATTTTTTTTTTGTACGGCTAAATATCTCAAAGCTAAAAATTATATCATGTTTTTATCATACACCAAAAAAATATTTTAGCATGCATTTTAGCTTTAATAATCAGTTTATTAAAGTCAAAAGTACATTGATCAATATTTCAAAAAAACATCAAAAAATATTTTTATTTAGTTTTAATGCTAGAGATTACGAATTTATACATAAAATGTATTTCCAATATTAAAATTAATAAAAAAATTTATCAGACTATAAAAAATAATACAGTTTACCTTAGGTAGGGTGTATTTAGAATGCTAATATCTTTTCTTTACTCAACCAGTTTTTGTACTCCCATTCCTGGATCTAGTTAGGATTCCTAATGATCAAGTACTAGGTGGCGACTCCTAATCCATATTTTACTAATAAAAGGTAAGAATTCTATGTCTCTTTTGTATTTTACTAGATAAACGTACATGCTTATTTTTTTAGGATAAATGATCGTCGCGATACTACACACGTGTGATAATGAATATAAACACATTTGATTTTGATAAATAAAAAAACCAAATATATAATCAGTTATGTTTATCATTTAAAATTCTAATGGGAAGAATTAATAATTGAAAAAAGACAAGAATCAACCATAAAACATCAAGTAAAACATCAAGAATGATATTATGTTAAGGAAGAAATTAAGTGTTATATATATGAACTCTATTTTAGTGTTATTGTCATTGAAATTTAAAAAACTATGCATTTTATATCAGTCAATTATTAATTATTAATTATAAAACAAATGTCTTATTGTAAAAAAAATAATTATTACCATTCTAGAAGTTTGTGTGACGAATAATTTAAAAAAAAAGCAATGATTATTTTTTATTCTAATCTTTAAGCAAGAAAACAAAATTGTGGTAAATAATCGTTATTTTTTGTAAGGTTGTTTGAAAAATAAAGAAAAAAATAACCATTAATGATTTGAAGGAAATTGATATTGAGAAAATAATAAACAATGGAAATATAAAAGAAAAGGAAAAAGAAGAAAGATTGGCTTGGATCGCATTTCTGGCTCGCGTGCTAGGGCTGGATGGGTGTAGCTTAGTAGCTTGATTATATATAATATAATATCGGATGTGTTTGGTATTATATATTGACATTTATATCCCATAAAATTATCCTTTTACCCCTATTTTGATGATTCAATTTCACCACCGTAGAAAAAAAGAGCTTTTGTGAGAATGTTCGATCTTATGCAGTCCTAGTTTTGGAAAAACAAAAAAAAAGAATTTCTCTCAGTAAAAGTAAACTGTAATTATACATGGTAATTTTGAAGCAGTACAACCTTTGTTAAAAAAAAAAACCTTGGAGGGCGAAAATATTACGACCGAAATATTAAAACGAAAGAAGACCTTGGTCCCAAAAGCAAGGTGTCCTAGCAACATCGTTATCAGAGAATTGATAATATGTTGGTTCCACTTTTAACCAGAAACATCCCATTCAGTTTCTGAGGCCAGGAGTAAGGGCTGTACAAAAATATAAGGACAATATTGTCTTGTTACCGAAAAGTACGAATCTGTACTGGTGGTGCCTGTCATTTCTGTACATTATTTTTTTTTCTTTTTCTTTTTGTAAGGACACGATTATGCACCTATTCACCTGCGCTCTTGCGTATTATAATAACTGAAGGGACACTGAAAAGGACACCTAAAAGTTTGATGTAAATACGTGGATGGTCAGTTATTGGTTTGGGGTAGCCTGGGTATTACTGTTACTGGGGATGAGCTGCATGTGATTGTTGCCCTGCAGATGGGCTTTTATTGAAACTAGTATAGCATTAGATTTGTGCCCACCTGGCATTGCAGGCCATTTGGATTTGAGGAGCGCACGGAATCCTGGGACGTTACGGAGGCAATTACAGAGAGCAATACTTCGCCATGAATATATCTTTACGATATATATCAAACAATCTACCAAAGAAAATTAGTGTCTTTAGTATTATAGTGATGATTTTTTTAACAATATATTTTATTTAAAAAAATCAATATCATAGCACATAAAAAACAAATTAATTTTAAAAAAAGTCTTCTTGTACAACAAATCCTCACAGTACATTTTTCTTACCCAAACTTTTATAACCTTATCCAGTAGCTACTGGTTTGTGGTCAATCAAACATGTCCTGCCCTGCGTTAATATGATTGAAGCTTACATATTTATTTTTTTTATTAATATGGATGTCCGGATTAATTTGTATGCATCACGATTAATTTCATAGCCCACTGAATATCCTGCAAGCCCAGTAAGCAGGTAAAGCACTGCAGGAATGACAAGCATATCGCACAGAGAGAACCCAGTAGAAACAGGAAGGGAACAACTTGCCAACCTCACTCCCATTAGAACTCGAACTGAGGTTCGAAAGAAAGCAAGCAGTCCCAACAATCACTGAGCCACAACTCTCTTACATACTTGATTATATATGTTCTAAGTATTTCAAAAGGATTTTTTTTCCTTTATATTGTCCGATCTTGTTATCAAGATTATTGAACTCGAATCCATATAATTTAAGTGGATTACACTAGTTGACTCGTTTTCAATTTTTAAATAAAATAACAATATTTTTAAAAAATAAAATATCTAATAAAATTATAAATTAATACATCAAATCAACTAAATTAATTTTAAATTAATTTTTTTCATAACTTATTCTAAATCAAGAAATAAATTAATCATGTCCCGAATTTTACAATATGACAAAACTTTGCAGCTTTAATTTTTCTAAATTTTATGGGCATGTCTGGCAATATGGTAAAAATTAATTTTTAAAGTATTTTTTTATGTATGATACCAACGTATTAAAATGGTATAAAAATATTTAAAAAATTAAAAATTTCCAATACATTTTATATATTAAAAAAAAGTCCAAAGTTGTTCACTATAATCGATCAATCAATCATCGTTGGGCACTTGGGATAAAAAGGCTATTTTTTCTTGAGAACGGATGGAAAAGACTTGTTGCCACTTGTGTTTCTTGATCGTGAATGGGATGGGCCCTATTTGGTTTGATCTGACCCAACAATCACTGAAAAAGTGACGTGTCGATTAGACTAGACAAGTTTAAATTCCTTCAAGACCGTCTTAGGCACGTGGCTCGCAGAGTTCAGGATCCAAGGAAAGTCTGGATTCCTTGGGCTTATGGGCTCCATATAACTATCCCTAATCCCTTTACCAAGCTAATTCAGCGCCCAAAAAATCTAATCTCGACCGCTAAATATCCATGCACCATCCAAGCCTATACTTCTTTTTTTATTGAAACATGGGCTCCAAGAGGGCAGGGGGTCCTAGGGGTAGAGGTACTTCCTTTAATAAATTAGATTTCTAGTTTTAAAAATAAAAAATTTTAAATTTTGCCTGCCCTAATTTTTTTTTTGTTTTACTAATTTGGCCTTTCCAATCTAAAACTCGTAGCTCCGCCATTGCTTGTGGGGAGTCTTTGCATATATGCATCTCTACCCAAATGGAGATGAACAGAGCTTTATCGCTATGAACCTCTAAGAAAACATCTTTACAGGAAATTTTAAAAGTTTAGTAGTTGTTGTTTTTAAAAATATTTTTTATATTATTATATTAAAAAATTGAAAATATAAAAAAATATTAATTTAAGAAAAAAAACAAAAAAAAAACAATACTTTTTAAAAACATCTTTGAAATACAATAATAAATAGGTCATTTATTGAGTTTTAAGATACCAATCATGTATTTTTATTTTGAAATCACAAACAGCTCATGGGGTATCGCTAGATATCTTAATTTGTTATGGTTTTAAATTTCTTGAGTCGGAAATAAAAACTTTGTTTGCTTTGAACGTTTTTATTGGAAAATATATATATATAAACGTCAAATCCAAATCCTCTGAGGTCAGAGGAGAGTCTGAATATTGACGGGACTAAGATTTAGACATCGATGCTGGGCGTTCCAAACATTGAAATGATACCCATCTCTCTAAAAATGGTCAAAAACATCATTGGAATTGTGATCCGTGACAGGTGTTGATAAAATCACGTTTCGTGTGCACTTACCTTTTACCTGAGGTCGCGCATGGATGGCCTCGGTGCATCAAATGTTCTACCCAGGGATGGATTTCTTCATTGCATCTGTATTTGATCGTGATGTCGGGAGAAATTATCTACTTTAATATCCAGGGGCAGGAGATTCCATTCACAGGAGAGATAAGATGAAATGAATGAAAAGAACACTTGCCTAATCTTTTTCTTACAAGATGATTGGTTTATTGTTTGACAAAACAGACCGTGACGGGCAACCATTGACTGACTCGTCACTCGGAGATGATTATGGGGCCATCAAGCAGCATTTACACGTCGAATGTTATCAGCAAACCTGGAGACTGTTTTGGCCATTGATTGCAAGAGTAAGCTTCTACTGCTCTACTCCAGTATTTCTCATTGCTCGTCTGTTGGCTATCCTCGTATTGCTTGGGCTCGAAAAAAGAACAAAAAAAAAAACACAGAGAAAATACAGTGGCTATTTATTACAATCTATGTTGGATTACGTTCTTTTACTGTATTGTTTTTTTGTTTTTTTAAATATCTTTTTTATCTTGTACTGCTTGACTTGTTTATTATAGTTACAAACATTATTTCAGAGTTTATTAAGCATTAACTTTGCACTGTGATTGTTAGATAAAAAGTAAAATAACTAAAAAGAGCATGAATGTAAAAAAAAAAAATTTGTGATGGTCCATTACTCATGATTAAAATATTTTTTATGGTTTACAAGAGATTAATTTTGTAAAATTAAAGTACAGTTACAGGAAGAAAAATAAATAGAAAAATATGAATAGAAAAAAATTAAGACTGTCCACTTATAGTATTTCCACTCAAAATATTTTAATGTTTTTGTTACTAAATTTTGGACAAATTGGATAATTAGGATGCAAAATAAAAAAATGATAAATTGATAGGGAAATTTTTTTCAAAAAATTAACATAGATTAAAATGTGACATAATCAAACTATGATATTTATAACTTAACTAGTTCCGAAAAGAATAAGAAAATTCTTAAAATTATCAAAACTAAGACACTTTAACAATATTTTTTATATTCAAATATCTAATTGTTTGAGTAACAAGATGGTGGCTATTACATAGAAAATATCTTCTAGAAATTCTTATAAAAATTTAAGTGATGTCCATCGGTTAAATCAAAAGTTAAATTCCTTTTGAGTTGTTAGTCCAGTTTAATTGTTAGTACAGTTTAATATGACTAGACCTCTTTTTAGATCAAGACTTATATAAATGTACTTGTTAGTTGTTACGTCATCAACACAATTTAATTGGATCAAACTCTTGTTTAGTCGGGACAGGTTCGTATCTAACTGCTCAAAATAATTTATTACTATATAAAATTTTAATTACATTTTATTTTTTAGTTTATGAGTTAGAAAAAGATAATTTTGACCTATAAAATATATTTTAATTTTTTTTTGAAATTATAATTTATATGTAAAATGATCAACCAATTAATTAATAGCCTAATTGTGCTAAAAAATAAAATAATATAATTATGTAGTGTTTATCATGACATTTACTAAATATTATTATTCTAAAATACAACAATTATCTTGTTGCTATTTAAAAATATAAATTTTAGTAAATAGTGTGTTTACAAAGCAGGACATCATTAAAGTATGACTATTTCACCAAATGACTTAATAAAATCTATTGGATTTGGGATGGTAAAGTTATGATGGAATTTAAAGATGGATGGGACCAAGTACCATGATAAGTAAGTGGCAGCAGCGACATGACATGATGCAAAGTAACAGCACCTTACTTTACCTTGGTATTTTAAAGCCCTTTTGTTTCTGCTTTTGAAAAGTATTTTTAAAAAATATATTTTTTATTTTTTTATATTCTTTTAAGATGATAATATGAAAAATAAATCTTAAAAAATAAAAAATATATAATTTTAATGTATCTCCAAGTTTCTAGAAAATAAATATTTTTTAAAACAGCCAATATAAACATACTCTTCTTAATTGAATGGATAAATAACCACCTTATCCTGACAAAGAATACAATGCAAACCCTTTTCGAACCGCGTTGAAAAGAAGTGATAGCGTTTAAGCTAAAGTAGTCGTATTATATTATCCTTCAAAAACCACCTTCCATGTTTGATTAGATTGCCAAAAGTCACTCTGTCCGTGCAATCATTTCGTATAAATCGTAGAAAATACTCTTGGACACTAAATTATCAATACTGGAGACCCTGTAATTTGTAATTTATAATTCCGCACTTGAGGAGTCAGAAACACTAAAGAATCACACAAACTTACGTAGAGTTGTTAAACTCATCCCTCTCCAGGGATTCAATTGAAAGTCTTCGACGGAACATGTTTTAAACTAAGTCAAAAAATATTACTAGCGAAAAAAAATTATACTTAGAAATATGATTGTGCGTAATTTTTATTAGAAAATATATTATTTTTTTAATTTTAAAAAATTATTTTTCATATAAATATATCAAAATAATTTAAAAACACTAAAAAAAATATTAATTTTTAAAAAATATTTTTAAATCACGAAAACAAATATATTATAAAAATTCCATTCACCTACATATATTTGATAACACAGTGTACTTTTCCAAATCAAGGCATATATATTTTAAAGTTTTTTTAACAATTAATATTTTTTTTAAAAAAATTGGTTAATGTTTTATTGATCGAATTTTTAGCAAATCATCCCCGCATTAAAATACACATTTTCAACCTTTTCTTATATTCAAATTACAACTGTTATTTTATTTTATTTTATTTTTAAATGATAATGTACAGCAAACCCACTTGCCATCTCAACAAAAATCAAGACTTTTAGATGCATACTGCAATCCCCTTTAATTTGGCTGATTAGAAGATCTAAAACCATCAGATTTCTCCATTTTTTACGATACCAAGTGATTTTCCGAGCAAAGTCATCAGAACCAACGGCATGCTGCATCATAATTACCACGTCGATGGTAAGTCACGGCAAATCATGCTTCACAGGATTCAAAACTGTCATTCCAACGAAGAAGTACCAATTAAATAGGGGAAAAAATAGGAGAACGCGAGGAAGATTTAACAGAATATTATCCGTTAATTATAGAATTGATCTAGCACGAATTTTTTACGCTCTCTTCTACAACTAGTTCAAAGAGTCATGATTTACAATTAAATAAATATAAATACGATAGGAACTCTCCATCCCATTTTTCTTCAACTCGGGATGACTCGGTTAGTGAGAAAAACCAACCCCTACTTGCCATGCATATCTAACAAGGGGGGAAAAACAAACTCTATATAACCTAGTTAAAAAAAAACCCACTGCCTAAAAATAATTCTAAGAAAAGTTATTAACATCGTTAAGACTCAGTAACTCACTGAGCCAACCTAGAACCACCTAACCATGAAGCAACGGCGTTGATTCACCCAAAAGCTCAATATTCCCCCTCAATCCCACGTGGCAGCATCTCTTAATTTCATCAAGATTTAAAAACCGACCCGATTGGATCGGGTCGGATATCGACACGGCCCGGATAATCTCTTCGAAGACAGCCTCGTCACATGGGATAGTTAACGGCCCGGTGTTTTTGAAGCCGTACACTTCCTCGGCTTCCACAAGCAAGTTTTTGAAGATGGGATGGTTAAGGTACGTCGCACGTACAACAAACCTTTTGCAACTGGCTCCTACACAGATTGCCACGTGGCCAACTGGGACATCAGATGGGGCTGCAGCAGTACGTGAACTTGTTGCTCCCGCTGTGACTCTTGCCTTCCTACGCCACCGTTTAAGCATTTGCTGGATTCTCACAATGTGCCGGATTTTGTTGCACTTGGACATTATTTTCCCGAAAAGTGAGAGAAAATGCGAGAAAGTGAGGGAGTGGAGACTGAGAAAAAAAATGTCAAGCTATGCTGGCTTAACCGTGAAGTGGGTGTTTAAAAGGATGCTATAGTAGATAAAAGGGCTTGGTTTTGGAGATAATTACGAGATTGTGCGTGCTGTCAGTGGTAGTCAAGACCATGTGAAGGGCAGAGACCACTAACGTTGGATTAATTTAATTTTTTATTGCTAGTTGGCTTCAGATTTTCTTTTTTTATTATTAATACTTATCTTTGATTAGTTTAGGCATATCTTCATTAATTTTTATAAATTTTAAAGTTAATAATAATATAAACCACAACACCTTTAGTTGTTAAAAATTTGAACGGATAATTATTAAAAAATATATTTATTATTTTTTAAATTTTATTGACTCTAATTTCTTCATAAACGTGCATGTTGATGTACTTTAGGAAAATGGGGTTAAAATGATGATATATTTTGGGCCCATGATCGATAAGAACTTGAAACATAGGCATTCTCCTTCTGTATCTTTCTAGAGATCTGTGTTCGATTCTCCCTACCACCAAGGAGGAGCAGACTGGCAGACAGAGTATAAATATCTTACAAGAAAGAGAGCACATCTCAAGTCACTTGCTTTGTAAGAATCTGGATCTTGCCTTCAAATACTTAAAGATTCTCAGTTACAATTCTACGTCAATTTCCTTGACAAAAAAATTAAAAAAAATCGTTTGAATTTACAGTTTACATGTATGAGCATTGTTATCTTTTATTTAGTTTTTAGAAAAAAAAATATTAAATCAGTTCTTCAATCTTTCAATTTATCATGGTTTTTATTATTGAAAAAAGAATTTATATATCTTAATGTGAAATTGCCATGCTATTTACATGGAAAAAGCCTTCATATATCCGTATTGGAACATATATAATTAATTGAAGTTCTCAACGAGGGCTAGCTTATTTGTTTTCCCTTTTCACCTTGTAAAGTTTCCTCACGGCCTATTTGGCAAATATAAATCGCCCTCTGTTTTAGATCTCACGATCATTTGTGGTAGATGGAGACTGGAGAGGAAAGAGACAATCATTCAACAATCTCTTCTATATCAGTCCTAAATTCATGCTTCACATGAGCTGCAACCAAGGCACAAGCAGCTGCAAGTTCATTTTCACTGAAGAAATTGAAACATTTGGTAGTTCTTTAACAGCTAGTAGTTCATGGAGTACGTGCTTTTTTTTACAAGTTTTTTCTTCATGTAGAGTAATATAAAATAAACATATTATAGAAATTAACGTCATATACAAACAATCAATATCTTTACGTATAATGACATACATCTCGTAATAATGTTCCTGTAGTAGCTAAAATCCACACCAATCAGCTTTCTGATAAAAGTGCAGAGCTTGT